ATCGTTTGTGGTTCCATGCCTGGCCTTTAATCCAGGAAAACCAAAAAAGTGCACCGCTGAGGTTCGTCTGTAGCTGGAATCGGACTTGTTATGGTTGTCACTCGTCTCGCAAAACCAAGAAATACAAGCGAATGATGGCTGTATATTTGTTTGTTTTAAAATATATGTATGCATGGGGTAGCCTCAAGGTACTGTGTGAGGCTTATTGCTAACGTCGACGTGCAAAGAATTACTACCTACGTCTCAGTTAGTTCACACCACCCCATGACCACTTCATCATCCAAACGTAGCACACACGTTGTTCCCTCTTGTCATCTAGAGCAATCTTATGCACAAAGTGCAAACAATCCTTTATTTCCTGATTACAAGCAGTCACAACTAGCGCTTAATGGCTATTTTGGCTATGCACCATTCGTTTTCTGGAGTTGGCAGTAGTGGCTCGGCGACTGGTGGTCCTTAATCTTACTTTCCTGTTAAGTTAGGCTAGGATTCTCAACCGTTATCTGGGAAGCCATTGCCTGTCCGCTTTTTACTTGCCTACTGTTACTGCTTACGTTAGGCCCTTCTTCTATGTCGGGATTCTTTGGTAAGCTACAAACCACCGCACGTTTTGACTAGTCCAACAGCTAGCCTCTTTGCAAGTACCTCAACGACAAAGTCCTTACCTTCCCAAAACTAGGCACCTACTCTGACACATCTAGTACTCGGTTTCCAGCTTTTCTGGGTCATTTTAGCTTGCTTCCATCCCCTTTTAGATTTTTTCTATTGACTCCGTTGTACCTTATGCCCCCTGACAATCGCCACAAGCTACTGCTTTCATTTTATTCTTTCTTTGTTCCCCATCTTCCAAAGCTTCAAAATTCGGCCGCAGTTGCCCAAACGCCTCGTTGAACTGTTATTCATTCAATCTGGCTGATCCCTGATCTACACTCACATCTTCCTTCAACGAAGGGGAAATTATCCGTGACACTGCATCGGCGTGACGCTGTGTCACTTTTTTCGTCCAACCCAGATAAAGCTGCCATGGAAATGCTTATCCCCTCCCCGATCCCAGCACCCTTGGCGACCGTTGCGGGGCTGCCCATAAACTGAAGCATGTCAATGCAATGATGGCATGGCACTGTAATACCAAGTGTGATGGCACTCCCGTAACCATTTTCTTCAGAATCTCAATCTAAACCTCTCATCCACTCGAGCCTGTAATTGCAATTACGAGCAAATTTTTCATATGGTCCCAACCGCCTCTGGGGCGAGTTATTTCGTACCCGATGAATTTTCGTTAAAAATTTTGCCAGGTTGTTCTTCTGCTGCAATTTTGGCCTGCTTCTTCCACAAGTTGAACTCCGTATACGGTTTTCGGTTTGTCCTACTCATTAGCACCTATCCCTTGCAACTGACTTCTCAAAAACAGTGTGACCAGTGAGTCTACTTAGTTTCAGATAAAACCACAAATTTGGGACAAAGCTTGTCATTTTCTTCCAATTCGAATTATTTCATTTCCGTCTACACTCTTGCTCGCTGTGACTCCGGCCATTTACTGAACCGCCCACGGTCACTAATGGCAAGCAATGGTTTTCAGTTTTAGTTCATGTCAGTCGTCAGTCGGCTTTGTCTTAAGCTTGTCTGACCTCATACCCATTTTTCCCTACAAGTGGGGAAAGAAACCTATTGTTATCTCATCATCTATTTCCTACTGTTTTTTACAGTGTCCTCTTTTCGCACAACCCCCACTACCCGCAAATTCCCCAGTCAAGCTTCATTCTGACTGTAAACGTATGATTATGCCAGACGGTATGCCACCCACAAGTTGGGGATAAAAACTGTTAGTTTTATTTAGGAATAAAATATCAGTGGTGGCGATGGGGAAGCTAACTGGCCAATTAGCTTGGGAGCTAGGAAGCTAATGATTGCGATCAATAAAGGAAAGAAAGTGCTGGAAAGCGGACGCGAAGTTGCAACCGGTCACATTCGTGTTCGTTCGGCAGACGGATTTTATCCGCGCAAATGTACGTCATATAAATTTGGATAGTATGTGTGACAAAAGGAGTTAAAAGTAGAATAAATGGCGTCAACGGCAGTATCTTTTTATCCACTAACTCTTCTTTCTTCATTAAATAAGACTACCTGACCCTCATTACCGTGTGACGGCTGTTGTGGATAATTGCACCATTGATTACACGCTTTTCTGTTTGTTTACAATCCCACGGCGTCCAAAACCTAGATAATGGGATAACCGTGAATCACTGCCGCAGTCTTTTGTTCTAAAGTTTGACCGTAGCATTCGCTAAAGTTTGGTGGTGCTTTTTAAAAATTTGGGAAAGAATTTTTACGCCACATTATAGCACTGCTTTCGAAGGCAAGGTGTTTATTTTAGGCCTCTGTACAGCAAGCACCCAGGCTGCAAAGCTTTGTGGATGTTATATCAATACTATGCAACTCAGGTTAGGCTCTGAAATTTGGTAACCACTGCACTACCCTGAAGTTCTGCCCACTCGCAACGAACCACTGCAGTGGAACTTCTTGACACTGGTGTATATGTCCTGTTACCTGCCCAGTTGCGTTGTGGCACAGCACTCTGTTGACGTTGACTTACACAGGCTGACTGCGCTTACCTATTAAAAACACGCATATCTAAGTGTAAGCAACAGGGTAATAGGCTTCAATCGGAGTCTATTCAACAGTCTGAACAAAGGGGGTGCTTTAAGTTTTCCCAAGTAAATCTGGTGAAACCAGTGCCGCTGTCAATTTGGCCTCCCAGACTCCCTCGTGCTTCGTCTAATAATGTAAATGCTTTAAAAAAACACTGTGTTGACTAGCGGCTAATAATCGCGGTAATTAACCTGGGTTATTTGATTCTGTTCAATAGATGTCAAGAGTAACCAGCTAACTGACAGGAATCTTTTTCGACCGTCGGTGCACAGGTTATGATAATCGATAGTCATAAAATAGCTCAGAAGTTGTATGCACCAACAACAGTTTTCACATTGGTTGATAGTAGCTTACAGTTGCTAGTTGCACCATGATAAAATAAATGCAGTCCGAACAATGGACCAAGCCAAAATGTGACTTATCTTTTGTGGATAACTCCTGAGAGTTCCCTGGGTGAAAGTGTGGACGGAGGGAAAGTGTTTTCTCCACAGTATAGCTGCTACATATGTTCCGTAATGGCCCTTGAACTTGAAGTGTTTGGCAGACTTCCGCCCACCTGCACGCGCTAGTATATGTGTTGACTGTGTTATGTCTTTATATATATATATATATATATATATATATAGGGAGGTTAGCCGTGTGTATAATAAATAGAAACGCTCTAATGTATATAAGATGAGAAGTGACTTGTTGCCGGTCAAGTCTGCGTGCGGGACAGGGTTCATCGCATGATTTTTGTGCTTGCGGAGCAAGCGAGTTGCGTGATGTACTAGACAAATTTAGTGAAGTTGATTGAGGGAACGAGGAAATTTTTTCTACATTGCTCATCGAATTGGGCAAAAGTTGAAATCACCGAAAACGTTTTCAACCAATCGAAATTCTGTAGGTGGTGGGCTGTCAGTCACTCTGTGTTTCAGAATTCCGAAAGTATTTATTTGGATTCAATTCCACCGTAGTCGCTATGCGCGATCCCGCGCTGAAACGATACAGATCCTCAATTACTGGAAGTTTTTCCACTGTTACACACCACTTAAACCCTGTGACTGAAGTCAGTGATCCAGGTTGTTTGCCTAAGCACTGGAAATGCTACAACTACTTTCGGCTTGCAACTCGCTTTGCAATACAACACATTTATCCAACCATTATTCATTCAGATATTACATGACTGACGCACACATATGAAGTAGTCCTGTCCGTTATTTATGGACTGTTTGAAAGGTTTCTGGTATTTGGATCTTTTGGAGGCTAAACATAAGTCAAGCTTGAGGGTGCATAATGACAGCATAACTTAGTCCGCTTCTCCGGCGTTTCGACTGCGATTTTTTGTACGCAAGTAACAGTAATTCAGTTCAGGCGTAAATCATCGACTTCGAGCTAGTGCGCACCCTTGATGATCAATGCAGTTGAGCAAAAGGTTTTTGAGCTCCACCATTTGGACATTACGTACGTGATTTGTAGAGAAGTCAAGAAATGCTTAGTTCAAACCTTGAAAAAGAACGATTTACCATTGTTTTGGCTCAATACTCACCTCCTGACTTGCGTGGCAAAGTAATCAATTGCACAAACGCAATCCGTAAGTTCGAGTTGACAGGAGAAATCGACCTTTGAACATCAATCATCGGAAGCAGCATGCTGAGTGCCTGGAGTTGACTGTCAGCAGACAAATCAGAAATTCATTTGGGTTGAGCGCTTACTGTTGGCCCGAGTACAGTGCTGGCAAAAAGATTCCTTAACTTACACTTAAACATGTTTGAATCTCTCTTCGTAACACTTCAGTGGGGGCGGCGTCCGTTGAGATTTCATTTTACCATATCTTCCTTATCTCAGAGCCATATCGGCTGGTATGTGAATGTCCTGTCACCACTGGCACGACCGTTGATTTTCAAACCGATTCTACATTAGTTTTGCTTCGAACAGGTGTTCTCTCTGCCTATCGACCCAGGCGGTGCGTGTGTTTGGCTTGTTTCAGTTTATAATTCCTTTTTTGGTTCGTCACATAACCCAGGCTAGGTCTCAAGGTATCCTGGTCAAGAGTCCAAGGTGTCTTGCAACAGCCAGTTAACAGGAGGGTAGTTACCACTAGAAATCCTTTTGACAGTTTTCCCTCCATTCTATCACGTCTGCGACTGCCACATGACACCCGGCTACTGTTCACATACCAGTCCACTTCTCATGCAGCTCTTGCCAAAGAGTATTCTTTGCACGACCTGGATAGTCTTTATCTATGACCATCTATTAATTCCTGCGATAATTTTGTTTAATTCTCCATTCATGTAAGGCGCTCAATGTTCGCACAGTGGAGTAGAGTTTTCTAAGGCTACGACGTGTCCCTGACGGACCAAGAGAGGCAGAAAGTTGAGTTCAGAGTTCGAGTACAAACGGTTCAGCCCCACCTAGGCATCCCGGGGTCTCACCAATGCTAGGAATGTATTTCACTAGACTTCCAGGGGTCTGATTGCATCGGTGTAAAATTTGTGAGCTGCAGAAAATTGGAGGTAAATTGGGATGCTTTTCGATGTGAGCACGAACGCAACAAAATGCAACATTTTGGCGCAAAACGCTTTATTCCATTAGTAAACATTTTGCAACTAAGAGCATTGTGCGGCCAATGGACCCCTTCAAGTACACTACTTCTAACCTGAAATCAAAGACGCTGCCGAATTTGCAATATTCCATAATCTCGCGTGGTTTCATACGTGACCGCAATGCAAGACACGACGCGAAACACTCTAGTTGTTTGAAACCGCTCGAGGTTCTGAAATCTGAGAATTGTTTTAGTGTGCTCCCAAAACGGCGGGCTACTCGAAGACGTCCAGCGCGTAAACTTTTGGACGCCTCGGAGAAATGCCGCTGCGGTTAGACATTAAACGAAAGCTTTTGGCCCGTTCTGATCGCGTAAAGGCTGTCGACTTGCATCCAACTGAACCGTGGATATGTGCCGCTCTTTATAACGGGAATGTTCACGTGTGGAATATTGAGGGTCAGCAACTGATCAAGACCCTTGAAGTTTGTACTTCACCCGTCCGTGCTGTAAAGTTTGTTGCGCGAAAAAACTGGATCGTTACAGGCTCAGATGACCTTCAGGTTAGTTTACATTCTAACGCCTTGCGTCAGTCTCATGTGGTCCCTTCCCTCTCTTCTGTCATCAGAAGTAGCTAGTATTCTGGCCCTGAGGTAGTTTGTTATATACAACATAACCGTGAAATACGTGCCTTTTACGACACTGGCGGTGAAAAACCAATCGGATGCTTTTTTCATGGCTTATGTTTCAAGTCCCCTTAAATTTCTGTTGTTGAGTTCTCAGATTAATCCGAGTCCTGAATTTTCTAATCTTGGAAAATTGAAAAAGTACTTAATATCCTCATCATGTTAGCTAGCTAGCTAGCTGGAGAGGATGTATCGCTCTCCCTCTAATACCTACTACTCCGTTTCTTATCAGAATTAAACTGGCCATCTATATTGACTTGCATGGAGGCAGCAATGAAACAGGTAACATCGATCGTTCATCATTCGCCCGGCACTATCGAGAAGAGATGGAGTTAGTTTCGTAAGACCTTTGCCGTACATCTTGTCTTCGTTGTATCCAGGGCATTCTAACTGCGACGAAGTGTTTTTATATCTCATTCAGCTTTTGAGAAACTCCTTCACTGAGAGCCCCGATAACTCAGCAAAGCCGTTCCAAAGATTCACCGCTCTGTAGGGGTGAGCGGTGAAACCCTTTCGGATTCCTGCTCGGTGGTGCTTCGGGGTTCTTGCCCGATTCCCTAACTCCTTTCCGGCTCCATAAGAGATCTATTGGGTACGCCCGAATGAGCGATTGCCATCTTGTACACATGTGGGAGCTTACACCGTTTGTTGCAGGTTTGTTCCATTCGCTCCAGTCTTTCCTTGAATGGCCTTCATGAACCTTCCGTCTGCCTTATATCCGTGTTAAATCCTAATTTGGGTATGAAATTACGGACACTGAATTTGTGCCTCCTGCTTCTCAAGTCAAGTATTTTCGGATAAATACACTAACCCAACAAACCGCACTCAATAAAATAACCACACAGGTTCACGTAAAACAAATCCTTTCTGTTTTGGTCCGCTTGACTATATCTAATCTTCGTTGAAGTGCCACACCTAAACCGATAAGTTGCCGATACAGACAGTATCACGGTGTAGACGTTAAAATCTTTCCTATAAAGGAGCACTACTGATTTCTCTCCTAAGTGGCCTTCATACGCTGAGCAATGGTCCGTGGCTTGAAACAAACGGTTTCTGGTGTAGGTAGGGGAAATTCCCTTTCAAGCACCGTACCTGTTTTAAATGACTATGTTCCCCCTGTTTTGTTTTAGACAATTCAGAAAAGACTTTACAGGAGACGAAATTGCGACTGGAGACGGAAATTAAATCAGGATGCAAACTCAGTCGTTCTCCTTCAGATAATGGTTAACTAAAGACAGTGCACTGGTCTGCATACTTCAAGCTGTCTGCTGCCTTCCGATCGTTTCAGTGAGACATGAGACATTCTAACATTGTCACCTGTGGCAGTGAAGCATCGGTGTTGAACACTGATGTCATGCTGTCGATGATGACCTGTGGCCATACTGAGGATGGAGAGAGAGATTCATCTGAGTTCCAGATGCGTGTGCCGTCAAAACCAAATCGGCATGCAAATGAGTGTATTTCGTTTAGGTTACCGTATGTTTCGCGTTTAACATCGAGGTATGGGGGAGTCATCCGACCTGAATTTCGGCACATGATGACCCTGCGAAGAAAAAATAGTGAGTTTCATTGAGTTCAGTGGCAAGTCGTAGATCATAAACGGCTTCCATCCTATCCAACCCACTCTACCGGCGCAACCCTTGGATGGCTTTAATGTTTGAAAATAGCAACTTCAATTTCCCCGTTAGATCACTGATGTATATCATAAACACCGGAGGTTCAAGTACTGCCCCGTGGCACACCAACGGTGGGCGCTGCCAGGTCACTTTTAAGCGAATTTTTTTCTCAGAATAGAGTATGAGCAAAATTCCACTGATCTTGCCGACTGTTCTTTCCATCACTTGCCGGAACGTCAGTAAGTCCAACAGGCGTTTGATTCCCTGCCATTTTCCTCCATCGTTTCCGTGTGGGGGTATATCATTCTCCAGTCACGTCAGTGCTTGATCGCTACACCAAGCTAGTTGTGTTTTCTACATTTCCCGCTACCGTCCTTGGGATTGAGGTGGATTCCTGTTGGACCTTTGGACTTGGCTGGGTTCAAAACCAGCAATTCGCTGAACTTCCATCGTGACAATTGGATTGGTCATTAGCTCAATAACATCACCATCTGGTGGTTAAGGAGCCATTGTATTCTCTTGTCTAGATGACTGAACCAATGAACAGAAGCACTTCCGATCACTTTCCACTCCTCGAACCAATCTTATTTCATATTGCTCCCTTGGTTCTCATCACACCAATGCTTTCACCTCGTGCTGTGTCGTATCTCCGCAACAGTGTACTCTGGTGCACTTAAGACAATTTCGTGACCGCTTTTCTGATCTAGTGTTAGAAGGTCGTTACTTTTATACCGTGACTTAGTCACTTCCAAGTTTTAGAACATTCGTTCGTGCGGTGGACCAGAGTCCTATACTTTCGTTGTTCCTACTCAGTTCTCCAATATGCCTTGCTTGAGTTCACTACGTCAAGTGGTTTCGAACAAGGCTGTTCTTTCAACGTTTCTCTTCAAATTCGCCGCTGAAATGAACGTGGAAGACTCACCCTTAGCCTCTAATATCTATGGGGTCTAACTGCTCCCAGAACATTCGCTTAGCTATCGAACACGCAGGCGAGATAGCTTTTATTGGATCTGACGTCATTTTTGGTGCAGATAACAGTGGATACTTTATGTAATTCTGTCTCACGGGTTGGTATGCGTTTCACACATGAAAAGTGTAGTGTGGTGCTGCAAGACTGAGTTAGCCGTTTGAGGTAGTAGACACATGTGTTTAACTCGGTGGTCTAGCCAATGACTGCATTTCTATCCAGAATAATCAGCAACACCTCTTATTATACTTAAAATCTTAGAGTGAAAAAAGTGCATGGAGGAAGAGACCTGCTGCTAACCTGTTTTGAGAATTCTGGGGTACCTCCACCGCCAAGCGGTCAATCAAGCAATATAGGAAGAAAGTGATAGCACTAACGCCACCAACATCGATTAGCCTTCATTTCTTGAAATGTCTCCAACCAGGTGGAGGGATAGTCACGCAAAACCATCCTGGGTGACGGACCGCATCAACAATGTCTAAAAGCTTCATAATTTGTTTAATACCTTCGCCAAGCCATGCATGACCACACCGCAGTTTGCGTCATTCTGGATGTTCAGAGAACAATACTCGTTCCGGTGGACACTGCTTCGACATGTGTAACACGTCGCCTAGCCATCGTAGTTGATGGCGCTGGATTTTTTCCGCCAAAGTGCCTGCTGCACAACCAAATGCCCGTTTTCGGGTTACAGACTCGCTAATGCCATCTGACACCAGCAACACTTCTGAGGCATCGGTGGTCAAAAGCTCAAGGACGTCATCTGTCCGCAGAGGCCATGTTTTGCAAAGGTTCAACAACACAGCCCTTGCTGCAGTCTGGTACACACGACTCTCGAGGCTCAGTTATATCGCTTTTGACGCCACAAGTGACGCAAACTAGCAGACAATTCGGGCCTTTGAAACTCGTGCGCTGACTTAATCAGACACTTCCTTCGGAGCTAATACGACTACCGAGGTATGTAAAGTTCTTCACAACCACTTGTGCTTCCCTTTGAACTGTAAGGGGTATACTCAGATACTGCACGTTCTGAAGCACGAATTTGCACAACCAAGGTGCAAGACGCACACCGATGGATGGTGTGATTGTGGTCGATTTATGCAACACGGCTTCTGCTTCGCCTTCGTCTTCGAAGACGATATCCTCTGCATACTTCAGGTCGCCAAAATTCTCACCAGCAATGATTTCAGCACCAGAATTTTGAGCTTTCGGAGAGCTCAGCACACGCTCATGTTAAGAAGTATGTGACTATAGGGATCAGATTATTTTCACAAACTTCGGGGGCATACCCTGTTGATCAAGTGTAGTTAACAGCACTGACCGATCGACGGAATCGAACGCACCCTTGAAGGAAAACCAAGATTGTGGGTTGCCTGTACTGTGGCCTTCTGACACCTGAGGGAGTGTGAAGATGCGATCGACGCAGCCTCTACCAGGTCAAAATCCCTCTTGATGCTTCATGCGGTGCCGTAAGGCGATAAAGAATCAGTGATACCAGATCCCTTATTGCAACGTGAGTCAAGCTGACACGTCTGTAGTGACCACATTTACTGCGAGTGCCTTTTTCGAAAATCGACTCACCCCAGTTATCTGGGACGATCTCCTTCTCATAGATGGACCCAAATAGGCTGAACCGGCACTGATTGAGGGGTTCGCTGTTACAAAGTGACTGGACCTTGCCGTGGTGTAACGGTTTGTGTCTTCGGGACCCATTGAGCTATACTGGGTGGTTCGCGCGTGGTACATACGGAGTCTCAGGTTGGTCTGTAGCTAGAGGACCAACACAGTCTCTGGTCCTCCAGGTTAAGACTTGGAACATGGATAGTGACTTCTTTCTATACGAGAGGCAGTGCAATTGCATTTTCGGACAGTCACCGCCGCCTTGCGGTCAGGCTTCGGTCGAGAACCCTAATCGCCCTTTTGTCTAGGAATGTGCGCATTGGAAGTATCCCAGTCCACGTACAACTGTGACGCTTACAGCGAGCAATACTCCCATACCACACCCGACGTCGTGTCGTGCCACCAGCCGGGTCGCCTTAATTACTGTATACAGCAGGGAGGGTGAGAGGAAACACGCTATCACTGACTCCTCCACTTTCACGTATTCCATGTTACCCTGCCTCACCCAAATTTGATTACTCTCTCTGTAGGTCCCAGAAGTAGAACTGACAGCTTGGTTCACCATACATCACATTCAGTTTCAACTTCAGTAAAAACCCCAAGCACTTCCGGGTCCGTTTTCAAACCCTAAAAGCTAGCCAACTTAGCTGCCTTGCAATGTTCTCAAGCTGAATCAAGCAGGACAACAACCACCTCTTGTTCATACGATGGATCTCTGCATAGAGGTATACTGTCTGTTAGAAACAAGGATACCGGACGCAATTACAGGGGCGAGATGGCTCAGTGGTTAGAGCGCGGATTCACTGACCGGAAGGTCCGTGGTTCGAACCCGACCTCTGCATCTCAACTTCACCTATCTAGGGTTGGGTGACCTGGCAGTATCCCAGCCCTCGTACTCCCTTTGGGTAGCATGGCAGCCAGGCACCGAAAGGGTGTCACAGCTGGACGCTTATCTTCTATATTAAGTACTGTAATTAAACTGACTACCCCTCGCTCTCTTCCGGGATCCGGCTCCCTAGTTTACAACGCTTCTGTGAGCCGTACATTATATGGGTCAGAAACCTGGCCGCTGCAGCCTGAAGGCGTTAAGAAACTTTCAGTGGTTGATTCTGTCTTTGGAGCATTACCAAAACTAATGGAGACGTCGCATCAGTAATGCTGAAGTATGCCTTCCTTCCCAGTAGTGCTTCTTGGGCTCTAGGACGCAGCACACGATGCATTAGGACGTTTTCGCCCAGTGGTAACAAGCGAAAAAGAATTTGATTTTGACGAATTACATTCAGTTACACTTTAGGTTGTTCACGGCAGCGAAGCATCGGTGTTGAACACAGATGTCATGCTGTCGATGATGATAATGATGATGTTAACGGCAGACCCAACCAAATCCATCGTTTGCACTAGTCTTTGGGTTCAGCTGGGCTTCAGTCGACTCTCCCGGTAACGCCAACTTAGTTTACAAATGGGCGAATTTCGCCGATTGCGTACAATTTGGTGTTCAAGTGGAACGTAGGGTTGATGAAAACTAGGGGATCACGCCTGCCTGATGAGCTTCCAGAATTGGCGAGATGGCTCAAGTAGGTAGAGCGCGAATTTATTGACCGGAAGGTTTGTGGTTCGAACCCAACCTCCGCCTCTCGACTTCCCCTGTCTAGGCTTGGGCAACCTGGCAGTATCCCAGCCCTCGTGGCATGGCAGCTAGGCACCGAAAGGGTGTTACAGCTGAACGATTTTCCAGAAGGGTAAAACGGCGGCTGAATGTCCATGACTTTTCGGCAACCATTTAAGTTATGATTATGTTTTTAATTTACTCTCACGAGGAACTGCTTGACAGCCACTTTTTCTGGTTTGTGACCGTGAGACCACTTGGAGGCATGGTTTAGTTTCTCGCTTGAATAGTGGTAATTGTACTTTCTGTTTTGTAAACGTGAGCTATAGTCGTTCCTGTTATGGGTTCCTTTTCCTTCCTCTTTGTTTCCAAGATCAGAAAGATGTGTTTAGCGGTTTGTTTTTGCACATATTCCACCGTGGTCCATATTGGCATGTGCAGGAGACTAATTTGAAGTGGTCTAATTTTGGAGTGCCTTTTGCAGCATCCTGTTCAATTTTTGTACGTTTACTTTCCCAATTCTATCCTTCAGTTACGAGTCTTCAATTACAACACACTGGAGCGAGTTCAACAAATAGAAGCCCATTCTGACTACATTCGATCCATAGCCGTCCATCCTACACAGCCATTCCTTCTTACTGCTTCCGATGATATGCTGATTCGTTTGTGGGACTGGGAGAAAAACTGGACATGTGCTCAGGTAACCTGTCGTTAATGGTTCCCCGTTTATTCTGCTTATCATTCTTGGCAGCGGAAAGCGTTTTGCTTGTCAGAGTTTTTTGTTTCTCCAGGTCTCCATTCATTTGATGTATAGGGATGTCACCCTTCCTCTGGCACGTTTATTCTCCACTACTGTCTAACGCTTAATGGCTTCTCGGGTCTGCAAGGAAGCCTTTGCTACTTTGCGCAGTAGGCCAGAATGTTGCGCCAAATGTGAGCCGACTAGCCCCTTCCAATGAGTGGCTTACCTGTCCAAATGACTCCATAGTGAAGCGAATCAAAATACTTGGGAAAAATCATTTCTAGTATGATGAATAGTTAGGTTACTCACTAGTAGAAAGTCTGCCCTACAAAGTTACAGAAGATCCCAGCTAAATTGTCTTCACAGCATCTATGGAGGGAACTCAGCTATTCCATTCCTTACTCTTCGGATATGTATTCATCTTATGCTGAGTTCATTGCTGGGAATTTGAACTTGGCTCTTTAGCAGAATTTAATCTGCTGCTACCAGTTACCATTCATCTTTGCATTCGCTTAGCCGACTTCATTGAAAACACAGGCATTCGTCTCGGCTAGCGATCATTATTCATCATATGGCAATGGGATTCGACTGTTTTCAGCTCCGAATTTAGAAAACATGGTTTCTCAGCATCGATTGATTTGTTCCGAAAACAGGTATTGTGGTTCTGGCAATTGGTACGCATTCTCAAGTCGTTGGCTACTGATCAACATCTGCGATTGAGTGTTATCTTTATTTGTTTGCTGGCTGTCATCTGTTTCCAGCACGTGTGAACTTTCTTATTCAGCAGCCAACATGCACAAAGGAGCACAAAAGGAGTTGCTGGATCATATGTCTGTTAGCCACCAGAGGGTAGCATTAATTGATGACTGTCTCTTCTGCTAACTGGAGCTTGCTTATGAGCTGAAGACACAATTAGCAATTAGCTCTTAGGGTAGCCCTTGCTGACGCTGTTATTCATTCTACCACTAACACTGGGTTGCTGTGATCAAAAGAAATTGAGCTGAGCTGCCTCAGGTGCCCATGAAATGTACGGACACTGATTATAGAAGTTATTTGTGTGATGGGTCTCTGAACTTACCTGGATGTGATTTTCGATATGATTGGTAGAGTGCTATACATCACTACGAGTGGCAGCCACGGCCTCAGATGGAATTCATTAGAATGCGCGGCAAAGCCGACCAGGAAGAGACAGTGTTACCACATTGCTTTCCCCATTTTGTTATGCTTTTACATTTTACGTCCACCTGTATCACCGTCATCACAAACAGCGCATAAGTGCCCAAATGCAATGGACCCCGATTTTATTTATTGTCTTGTTTTTTATGGTCCACTTACATCCGCCATGTGTTGCACCGATCTTTGTTTTATTTAACCTTTAGGTTTTTGAAGGACACAGCCATTACGTGATGCAGCTGGTCTTCAACCCAAAAGACAATAACACCTTCGCCAGTGCCTCGTTGGATCATACCGTCAAAGTGTGGAGTTTGGGCTCTCCAAGTCCTAACTTCACATTGGAGGGTCATGAACGTGGGGTGAATTGTGTGGACTACTACATTTTCGGCGATAAGCCATATCTGGCTAGTGGAGCTGATGACAAGACCGTGAGAATATGGGATTACCAAACGAAGGCATGTGTCCAGACTCTTGAAGGACATGCTCAGAATATTAGGTATCGTTTCCTGTGTGTGTGTTTTGCCCACTCTGTTCGTGTGTTGTATTGCCTGTATCAGTGAACTGCGATCAAGCTGTTAGTCTTTTTCTTCTCAGCGTCCGCTCCCCCGCAATGAATTCTCACTGCGGATATCTTTTTACGTTCATCGGCAAGACTTCGGCGTAGACCAATGGTGAGATGGACGCTTCCATATGTACAGTAGCTTTGCCGTCCTTCCAGGCGATATTTAGGAATTTCACCCAGAACCGGAACAAATTTCCCGGGAAATTCAGTGTCAACACTGATGTAGCTGTCTCTGATGGCGATGATGGCAGGTTATCTGACTCAGTAAAAATCCCTATGCATTCATCTCGTGTCCGATTACAGGACGATTGCTCGCCCCACCGGGATATCACTTGTCTATCTGTTCGCTAAGGCTGGGAAGCGAGATGGCCCAAGTGGTTAGAGTGCGAATTTACTGGCCGAAAGGTCCGTGGTTCGAACCTGACCTCTGCCTCTCGACTCCCCTGTCTAGGCTTGGGCAACTTGGCAGTATCCCAGCCCTCGTGCAACCTTCGGGTGGCATGGCAGTTAGGCACCGAAAGGGTGCTACAGCTGAACGATACGACGATTTTCGCTAAGGCTTCATTGCATTGAGACATTCTTGGTCGGAAAATCGGGACTTTGCCCGAAAAACGATGGACAAGTGATCCCAATGGATGTATCTTGGCTGCACCAGTTCCTTCAGTTTATCATCTATAGACCATGTGCCAAGGGCACGTTGGTTCTAACTGCCACGGTTTCGATCACCAGAAAGCGGAAGAGCATGACAGATACGGGCAAGAATTGGAGGCGGTAACATGTTCAGTTAGTTCTGCTCTGTGCAGCTACGCATTAAAGGCGATAGCTTTAACGCATGAGCGTCATTGACTGCGCGATCGGGCCATTTCTGCCAATGTCATCAACTGTTGGTGAGTTGAGTCACGTGGTCTTCATCTAGGGATGCAGCAGTTACCAGCCCGACTGAGTTTAATGGTTAGTGTTGCCAGTGCGTTGCCAGGTCGTACACTGTCCACCTCTGTCGCTTCCACTCAGCACAGGCCTGGATGGAAAGAGCCCTAAGTAGCAAACCGTCCCAGGGATTGCGGATTACAGCACAACATGAGAAGCTTGAGTAATTCTTATATTGTAAGAGAGTTCTTTATCCCCTAAACTCTCCAGCATATCTCTGCACTGCTGATCCGATGTTTCCACCGGGCCGGACCAATGCTTCGGAGATACGTGGTCAAACACTGGGAGATTTCGTATCCCCTCTGTGTGTGGAGGCCACGTTTCTGGTCCATGAACCAGTATAAAGTCGCTCTGCAACTAATTCCGGTGTTGAGAGACAGACTAACGTCACGTCGGCGCCATAGGTGTCGCAGGCTGGCAAAAGCTACCCGGCCTTCTCGATTCGAGGTTTAATCTCGTCCTCAGCCTGTCCACCGGAACTTATACAACTACCCTGTTAAACAAATTGACCTACCACGTCACTTGGTTTGTTTGCAAGCCTGAGCCCACCCAGTCCTGTAGCGGCACTTTACACTTGGCAAGTGTGAATTGCATGCCAAGCCATGCAGGAGAGTTATTCAGATTATTCAAAATGTTTGGCATTTTTCAAGGATGTGAACTAAGGAGTGTTATGTCGCTCACATACTCAATGTCTGTGAACGAACGTCCCGGAAGCATTTCGACCTCCAAGGTTTCAGAGGTTTCAAGCAGCAACGAAGTTGACGAGGAAAGGTGAGAGAGGGCAGCCTTGCCTCACACCATTGGACTTGGTGAATTCAGGTGAGGGTTTGTTGTATTACCGTACCCGCTCAGAGCAGTTCGCATACTTTGGAAGAGACATCCTTGGTCGCCAGATACCGCCTAATTTTTTGGCGGTCGATAGAGTCGAAAGGTCGATAGAGCCGAAAGCAGCTCTCAGATAAAGGAAAATGACCAGTGTGAACATTCGAAGGAATGTTGGTGTTTGAGAGCTAAATACATGGTCGATTTATCCTCCGGTCGATAGAGTCGAAAGCAGCTCTCGGACAAAGGAAAATGACCAGTGTGAGCATTCGAAGGAATGGTGGTGTTCGAGAGCTAAATACATGGTCGATTTATCCTCGGCCAGCGCGAGACCCTTTGATTCTCACAAATCTCTTCATCCCTATAATCGGTCAGCCTGCGCAGAATAATGCATGAGACTACCTTAGATACGATAGATACCTGCTTGGTCTTCGCGTGAGGTTATGGCACCCTTCTTGAGGAATAGAATCAAGGTGCTCCATTCGACTGGTGATCTGTTTTCGCTCCAAATCTTCCGGAGTGGCGTCATGAGGTCGTTCACTACCTTCCTTGAAGAGCGCTGGCTTCTGACCGTCTGAGCAGGGTGTCTTGTTGCGTTGGAGAAACGCTATCCCACGTTGGATTTCCGATTATGGCGGCGGGCGGCTTTCGACGTTCTATTTATTTCGCTTTGGGTCT